GTTTATAATGTAAAAGTGTTTTAATAGATAATAATGCTTGGTTTACCATGAAGATTTTTAAAATAAAACCGCAGGACATCAGCTGACAAACAGAGGCCGGGCCAGACACAATAATCAATATGCTACACATTCCACCACCGGGGCTGCACGTTATACCTCCGAGCTGCTCAGCATAAACAGTCTGTCTCCAGACAATGCCGGCTCTTTTCCAACAAGTCTCTTCTCTTCCTGGTACAGCGTGGGCCCTTCGCCGAGAGCAAGCCTCACAGAGCATTTCTCACATACAGAAGTCCCACTCTGTCTTTCACTCAGTCGCTTGGAAACTCTTATACATGTATGATAAAAATATAAATATGTTAAATAATTCCTTTGTATGAAACAACTGTTGCTCAGACAAACAGGTGATGATAAATGCTGATAAGTGATCAGTCTGATGACCCTGTACACGGTGCAAAGTGCAACTGTACAATACCAAGGAGAGAAAATGATGCAACAAGTCACAAACTGTGCATTGTTGACATCACATACTATTTATGCCACTGAATGTTTAAACCATAGACTGTGTATAAAGATGGATGACGTGACAGCGCCTCCGAAGTGAAGGTAATGCGTCTTGATCACCACTGGATGGCTGGCTGCAGTACAAGTCATAAATCCTACCTCCTCAGTGTAAGCGGATGGTACTCGGACTAAACTTAAAAAGTCAAAGTACTCAAAGATGGGTTCAGTCATTTTTGATCGTCACACTGAAGTTTGTTCAAATTATCTTTTTTTGGCAAGTTGGGTTCTAATATTTTTTGGGGGGGGGGTTATAGAAACAGGATGGAACATCATAGTTTATTTTTATATTTATCTATATTTAGAATTTTTAAGAAACTGACTTATTTTTGCAACCACCTAAGTCGCCCTCTGCTGGTTATTCAAGAGAATGCAGCTTTCACTCACTGTCGCACTGGCTTCACTTTCAAAACCTGGAGTCGATTTTTATAAAAGTCTATTGTTTAAACATTTTATTCTTTATTTTAAAACAAAGGAGAAAGTCTTAGATTCTAAAATTTTAAGGCCACAAATACTTAGATAAGTGTTAAAAAACAGAATGATGCTGTGTTTGTACAGTTATACCTTTTCTCTTGGGTAGAACTTCAGAAAAGAGGCTGGTTTAATGACAGCGATTGGTAAAAATGTGCTTTGAATAATTTCCATGAGGCTGCAAAGGTGAAAGACGGTCTGTGTTGAGCAAACACTGAGGTTAAAGTCCTGTTCGTTAAAGTCCTGAGGTTACGACATGACTCTATGTCCCCCAGTGGAAAATCCCAACAGAGAGTAGATCGAGGATGTGGTGTGAATACATTTTGATGAGTGGTGGAAGAGGGCGGGTTAACAACAAGTCCCTGATCAACTGGGGGTGAAAAAGTCAAATGAAGACAGGCCTTATTCAAAAAGATAGAAAACCTTATCTGTATATGCTGTAGTGGCCCATAATAAATGTACGTTTACTCTAACAAAAGATAAATGCTGAATTTCAGTTTTTCCTTTGTCATAAATGAGCTTTCATTTTAATTCTGACATCATAACAACAACCCACGTAGTATGATATGGTATCAGCACTAGGGCTTTGCAATAATTCATGAATCAGTATTGTTGTTCATCATCTTTTAGCGGAATGATACAGGTCAAAGTACAGGTATTGTATTTTAGTATGTTCAACATTACTTTAAGTGAGACGGCTCAAGTTGAAGCAGGCTGATCAACCACCACCCTTACACCAATGATGCAGGCTTCAGACTGACTTTTGACCTCGCACAAGGAACAAAAAAACATCACTCCATCTCTGTCTCTCTCTCTTTCCGCTTTACTGTGCTGTAAAACACAGAAGAGAGGTCCAAAACAATCTGTAAACCAGAGCCATTGTTAGCGCCACCAGGAACTCATTGCCGGACTTTGTTCCACTTACTGACCTGTCACTCACATCCAGATCTTTTATTCTCCGGCCAGTCGGTGCAATGAGGCCACAAACCGCTGCCTGCTGTTTCTGCTGCCTCAGTGCTTTTGATCGTCGTGCTTTCATGCCTGCATGCTTGTCTGTGTGTGTGCTGCATGTATGCGGATATCCCTCCATAACTTCCCCAGCATTTTAAATTGCAGGATGTAAAAGACGGCTCAAGGAAGAGTGGAGACAATGGGTGTGGGAAGGAGGCAGAGGGACAGGGTCATTAAAAAAAGGCTCGTCTCCATCTGCACTGCTGAGTCTTGTTGTGTCCGAGGGCCACACCACGCTCCTCCCCTGAATTCCACAGCTGCCAGGGCACCACACATTACTAAACCAGGGCCAAGGAGGATGAGGGGTGTCCATCAGATACTTACACCACTGACTCATAACCAGGGGTGCTTGGGCCAGGGGAGGACTTGGAAGAGTTTAAAAACTTTATCAGGCAACAACGGCAAATGAAAGAGATAATTCTAAATAGATATAACAGTAATATAGTAATAGTGTTGTGATAATTCTGAAACCAAAACCAAACTGTGATTCCAAAGTCCAAAGTTGAAAAGGTTAGGAATCTCTGATTTACACAGTAGGGTTGATGCTGAAGTTGGTGACAAAACAGCGGCAACGTTCATAAAATAATTATCAATACTTAGTCTGATGCTACGACTATAAGCTGCCTGCTCCGTGCAGCAGCAGCAGCAGACTTGAGTTACAGCACAAGTTGAGAAGATTTGGTGTCAAAGCAAAAAGCAACAGAGACAGTTTTGGTGATATTTCAGATTAAACCTGATGCCAAAAGTCAACCTGGTCAAATAGCACGACACACAGTACAAAACACCATGTGAGAGAAACATTAGACTATGGCGGGCCAACACAGTCTACGTAATCAATGTGAAACACTACACATACCTTAGAGTGCATGTCAAGAATGAGGCTGCCAGCAGTGAAAAATAAGTGCTCCACAGATACTGAGCTGACACGTCTTCCAGAAGAACTGCCTAGTGTCACAGCAACAGCCAAACTTTGTCTTTTTCTCACTATCAAGAAATGAAGTCCAAATTTCCTGGATGTGAACGCTGCTGTCTTGCACGTGTGATGCCAGAGATGGCAGAGGTGGTAGAGTGGTAATTAAAACTAAACTTACCAGAACAATAAACACTTGAACAAACATCAGTGCAATAGGAACTACCTGAAATGAATGAAATCTTTGGTCCATATCCCTTCCACTAACATGGAGTGTATGACATGTACTGCAGTCAGCCACCAGGGGGCGATCAAGCAGCTTTGGCTCAACTGATACAAACGTGAGTGACCTCCGTTTAAACAAGAAACAAGGAAAGGAGGAGGGGGAGGGCGGCAGGGAGTCTAATTTTAAGGCCTTAATAATGTAACATACAGAGCAGTGTCACTCTCTGGCTCACACGCCTCCATGTCCCTGCAGAGGAACTGGTGCCCCAGAAGTTTTCTACAAGCACTAATTATGGTTCCTATTGGTCCAGAGATTACTACCTACACCAGCTCTCAAATGAAAAAGCTCTTCTGGCCCCTGACAGCTCAGAGACTGTTTTGCAATCGAGGAGCGAGTTGGCATCTCCAACATATTGGAGCCTTAAGATAAAGATTATAATATAAATAATACACGCAGAGCTCAGCACTGACTTGTTATTTACTTGTTGGTTTTCTCAAAGCTATTGTGAACACAATAGAAGAGCAACACATGCCATGGCGATCCC